TCTTCTACCATTTCAAAAGTTCAGCTTAATTTTAGGGGTCTTGCTGCTTCCCTAGGAACTCAGGATGCCAGAGTGACTTTGTCAAGAGCTATACATGCCGAAGAGGGTGCTGGGTGTGGGGAGCTTCCTGCCCTTCCAGCCTCAAAATGGCACAAACCCTGACAGCCTAAAGAGGCAGAGGCTGAGTTAGCACTGCCTGTTAAGGGCAGCACTATTGATTTTGGCACTCGGGTTTACCAGCCCATGAGCACGTGCTGAGTCAGTGGCAGGACCCACCATCTGAGTCAGACTCATGCAGGAGTACATCAATTAAACAAACATCTCTATTATTATCATCATCTGATAGGAATACACAGTGTCAGGAGATAGTCCTGGTTGTTTGCTGCCTATGTTGTACGAAGCACTAAAAGATCTTTGAAGCATGAAAGCCAGCCAAACTCCTCTGCCAGCCCAGGTTGCCTTGCACCATTCCCTGGTGCAGCCATGCAATGCCTTGCATCTCCTGCAAACCATCCCTCACAGCTGCTTTTTTCAGCCATCATGGGATCTTCATTTGTCTCACTTGTCTGTAAGATGCTCAAAGCAAAGAATTTGTTTCCTAAAATTCTGTCTTTTTTTTTTTTTGAAGTCTCTTTAAAACTTAGACATAAACATTTCTGACTCCAAGTAAACAAAGAATAATTAAGTTGCTTTTTCAGCTGAAAGTCTGCCTGCCTTTTGCACCACAAAGCCCCACATCAGCCTCACTTCATCAGGGCAGAGAACCCAATGCTTGAACACTGATGCCAGAAAGCAACAAGCCATGGCTACCCCTTGGGTAAAGCTCAGGCACCTTCTGGCCTGGGAAACACAGATGAGATGTGGCCATGAAAGGGCTAAGCAGGGAGAAGCACCAGAGCTCCTGGGCTGAGGGCTCAGCCCCTGACAGATCTTTTGCGATACTTTTTGCAATAACATAAGTGACATCTGGAGCCGTGAGCTGCTTGAGAAACAGCTTTTTTTTTTTGCTTAATGTCTTTTAAAACCCCAGTTTCGTGTAGATCCAACCATATATATGGATCTTAAATAACTTTCTGACAGAAATAATAAACACCCTGGATAATCATTTCTGATGAGCACTTCTGTAACTTTCTTAACTGCCTGAGTCTGCAAAATGGGCCTGCAAGGGAGCTTGCCTGTGAAAACTCTGATGCTCTCAACTTTTGATCACAGGAAATAATCTAAGAGCAGATTTTTCAAGGGGAAATACATCATTTCTTTTTCTGGGTGTCAAAAGGCCACAAGCTAATGAAAAAGAATGAAAAGGATACCATTAATATCTACTGTTTCTGCAACACTTTTCATCTGAGTATCTCAAAGCAAGGGCTGACAGATAGCCATTATTAACCCCACTTTACAGGGGAAATAACAAAGTCTTAGCAAGGTTAAGTAACTTGCCCAAAGCTATGCAGCAAGTCAGTGGCAAGACACAGAAAGGTGGGGGGGAGCAAAAATAAAGCCCTGCAGTCTTGGGTGGATTTGTGAAGATTTTGTCCAAGCTTCTTCAAAACAGCAAGAAGAAAGAGACTGCAAGGGTGGTACAGCCTGCAGTTTTGGGTGCCCCAGACAGGTCTCAGAGAGGAGAGACATAGGCATCTTCACTGTAAATGGCTACAGGTAGGTGAAACAAGTGTTTCAAACACCTGCCTGTTTTTAATTGTATTTATTATCCTGTCCCTAGCAACGTGGCATATTAATTTTACAGGGAATAGGTTGTTGAGACTGAAGCAGAAGTGGTAAATCACATAGGCTCTGTGGTTTCTGTCCATAAACCTTTCCTTTGGTTTCTGACTCATGTCCCACAGATTTCAGATGAAATGCATTTCCAACTAGTAGGTTTCATCCAGGTTTCGTGGTGAAATGATTCTGATGCAACACAAGCTGTATCTTTTCCTTCTGCAGGAGCTGCAGGAGGGAAGGGCTGGTGCCAGGCACCCCTCAGGGTATTGAGGACCTTCTCCTCTCCCTGTCAGTGAATCACTGGCTACATTTATTCCACAGGATGGCAAACCCAGTTCCTGGCCTGTGCTATTCTCACAAACCTAGGCAGTCAGGTTTTGAACCAGTTTAGTTCAGATTGCCTTGTGTGGTGCTCCTTGGTAGTTCTTTTGCTACTTTTCTAAAGCAGTTCCTTTTCATTCATGGCAATGCACGAAAGCACTTGATTTTCAGCAAGGAACACTATCACCATTTTGCCACTAATTAAGAAAAAAAAAAGAAAAAACCCAACCTTTCAGTCAATCAGGGTCTATTTAACACATTTACACTTTTCTGTCATTTTTCTGTCATGCTGCATTAACAGCCGTGGGGTCAAATCCAGCCCTGGTGTAATTCCAAAGGAGTAACACTAGGAATGAGCTTCACCCATTATCTCTAATGTTGCTAAAAAGGTCTCCATAATAGATTTTTTAAGTTCTTGATTCTGAATACTAATCAAGTCTTTTAAAAAGAGCACTTGAGTGGGATGCTACTAAAACAAATATGCTCTGGTATTTTACACCACATCTTTCTGTTCTGCTGCTCATTTCTTTGCAAACAAATGAGTTTTGGGAAGTCACTTTCTGCCATTAAGTTTGTTTTCAAGCAGCACCTGGGTTCATCCAGCCCCTACCTATATGCCCTGCATGCAGCCTTTCACAGCAGCCCAAGAGCCAGCCCACAGGACATCCAGCCACATGTAGGATGTCATAGCCAAGGGTCCTCCTTCACGGACCTGTTTACCCTCCCAGCTCTCTAGATGCCACTCCACAGCTCAGTAGCAGCACCCTGTGACCTGCACACCCAGAAACTCCAGCTCAGCCATTCCTGGACATAGCCATCCAATGTCCCAATGAGCACCAAATACCTCTATAGCGACACCACAGCACAGGAACAAAGTAAATGCACCATCATTTCATACCTCCTGCATTTTGTCCCTCAGATACGTGCTTTGTACTGCTTCCATAGCACATCAGCCATGGTCAAGCTTTGCCAGATGTGGTCATCTAAATGTCACTACTGCTTGTGGCTGTTGATAAAAGTGAGGGGTTAGAGCTCTGTTTTCAGAAAGTAGTGACTTTTGAGGGGTTTCAGGCCTCCCCAAGGGAGACCAGGCGTATGTGAATATCTCGGATGGATGCTGTTTGGACACTGATGACATTCAAATGGGCCAGGGGCTGCTTCGTTGACTTTTCTCATATGCCTAACTTCATTCTATTTCAGTCCAGCTCACTCTTTCCCTAGCTGTTTCTAGTGAAAGAGCCATTTCAAAACTGGGATACTACTCATGTGGTCTGGAAAACGTAAAATCTGACCACCCGAATCCCCAAAATAAACAAAAGCAGTGAAAATGTCACATGCTGCTATTTTATCATCTGTACTATCCTCTGGTTTGTAACAGTGAAAACCCCAGGAGGAAGCTCTGCTCCTGAGCAAGGGCAGGCTCTCACCCCACAAAATATCACATACCTCTTCAGCTGGAAGAGGAACAAGAAGGAACAGATGAGTAAGAGACCTCTTCCTTCAGCAGCTCAGGCCCTGCTCCTTCCACTCTTTGGGAGATCACCCAACAGGATTAATACAGAAAACCCTAAACAGTTGAGGTGTTCAGATAATCCTCTGACTAGCAAAGAATTACATTCGCAGAAGAGGCTCCCATAGCTGTTTAGCACATCAAGAAATCTTTAAGTACCTAAACATAAATTTATTTGCTGGGAGTTCTTACACTCTAACAACATACAAAACAGTGCTAACACATCAGTATGTATTTTTCCTGAAGCCTGCTGCCTAGGGAGGAAAAAATGCACACTAAATTACATCCATGGCACACCCCAGGCTCATAATCATAGAATCATAGAATAGTTAGGGTTGGAAAGGACCTGATGATCAAGTTCCAACCCCCCTGCCATGGGCAGGGACACCTCACACTAAACCATGTCACCCAAGGCTCTGTCCAATCTGGCCTTGAACACCGTCAGGGATGGAGCATTCACAGCTTCACTGGGCAACCCATTCCTGTGCCTCACCACCCTAACAGTAAAGAACTTCTTCCTTATATCTAACCTGAGCTTCCCTTGTTTAAGTGCGAACCCGTTACCACTTGTCCCATCACTACAGTCCCTAGTGAAACACTGACCCTGTCCCTCCACAGGTAAACAGCACACCCCTGAGCACACGACCATGCGGGTCTACACTGTGCACAGCACCGAGACCCCTCACCTTCTCCCCACCTCAGCAGGTGCTGGGACCAGCCGAGGCTTCCCCACCTGGGATGCCTCCTATTTACACCCAGCAGGACGCTGCCGTTTACCCTGTCACCACCAGCCCATGAGGCGAGGCTGGGGTGTCACTCAGAACTGCATGTGACTTGGCCAGCGGGCCCTGGGACGTGCTTTCTTTCCCTGCCACTCTACCCACCACTGAGCCATCCCCTTCCCCATGGCCACATGCGGTCTGTCCCACAGCTGTGGGAGCAGCAGGCAGGAAGAGGGTTAAATCACAGCGGTTCTATGACACTGCACAGCGAGGAAGCTGGAAAGAGCCATGCCTCTCCTCTCATTATTACCAACACACCCAGCTAAAAGTTGCAAATTCTAGAGTTGCGCTCCCACTTCTAAAACCTGATTGTTACAATTTGGTGAGGAAACGGGGAAGGCAGTGTAAGTAATCAGCGGGGTTTTTTTCAGCATCACCAGACAGGAGTTCACTGCAAAGCAGAAGTTACTAAATACATCTAGTGAACAGCAACCCTGCATTTTACTTAAGGTCTGCTGGGTATTGCAGGGAAGAATGAGAAAGACTGTGTTATTCTGCAGGAGCAGTTTCCTTGGGAAAGTATACCCAGACATTTAATGCCAGGAATATTTAGTTAGCATAACTCAAATGGTGTTGTGCATGCAGTTGGTTAGTCTGAAGTGGAGCGTCATGCAACTTGCATTAATGCTGGCAAAGGCACTTTATGGAGAAACAGACTTTATGCTTACAATTATCCCAGCCCAATATGGAGTGTCTCTGACTAGCAGAGAAGAACTGATGCCTGCCATAAGGAAGCCCAGCACTGTTACAGAGACGCCTAATGCCAGCTGCAACAAAGCAAACAGCAGTGGGAAACGGCAGCCACAACAAGTATGGGATTCCTCCTCCTGGCCAGCTTTGGGATCCTCCTTGGTTTTCTTCTGCTTCTTCTTCTTCTTCATCTCAGGCTCCTGCGTCTTGCTCGAGTCAGTGCCTCTCTCCCCTTCGGGTGCGTTCAGGGACGTGCTGTGTTGGGGTTTCTTCTCCTTCTTTCCCATGCCGACGAACTTTAGGTTTTCACGTGCGTGTGTGTGTGCGCACGCTGATGGGGGTGTGAGGTTTTTTGCCCCCCAAAGCTTTGCTTTGTGCTGGCTGAGTTGTTCCTGGTATTTGAATCAAGGAGGCTGAACAAATATGGAAAACATTTGGAGCAGATTGTCAGAGCTTCAAAATGCCACATATAGCCCAGAGAAGAGGGGGATTCAAGGGGGGTAGTGAACTGCCAACGTGCAGGCACCGGCTCTGCTGTGTACACACAAGGACTGTCTGTGTACACACAGCTGAGCATGCGTGCCACCACGGCTTACACACATAGGTGTGCGCACACACGAGTGAGTGTGCATGTCTGTGGGGGAGCTGGAAGGCAAAGACTGTGCAGGCAGTCTGCATTGCCAGCTGATAAACAGGAGGGAAATCTGTCTCAACAGGGAGGCGGGAGTGAATCAAGTGCCTGTGCCTGTGTGCGCACTGAGCAGGTAGGTAGGAGCTCATCATGCCGTGGCTCCCCTGGGGATTACTGGCATGCAGAGTGTTACTCAGTGAACCCAAGCAGCACCAAGCACACAACGGGCACGTTTCATACACCGGCTGGATCAGATTAAATAGGTGCATTTCAGGGGGAGGGAGTTGATTACGTGTATGGAAAATATGAAATTAACGCAAATCAAAATTCAAATTAATATCCTGGGGAGCCAGAAGGAATCCTGTCTCTTCCTGAAAGTTGCAAAAGCACAGCTAGGCATGTTTTATGATGAGGCAGACAGGGACCAGCAGTGAGGACTGGTGCTTCTGTACAAGTGCATGTAGAGGACAGAGCTGAACATCTGCTGAGCAAGTTTCCAGGGCTGCAAGTTGTCCATACCAGGAAGATTGTTTATCTTACCTAAAAGAGAGAGATATGTCTTACTGTGGACATGTTATCATTGCAATTTATCCACATGCTGGCTCATGCTTGTGCTTGGGGATAGCACACCACACTAAAATTGCTCTGGAGGTGAACCCAGAGCTGGGAGCCCTAGGACAGCATCTTGGATGCTGGTGGGGGTCCCAGGTCAGGGGACTGAGGTCTGAAGGGTTAGGCATTAAATAGGAGGGAACAAGAGGAGGTAGGTGGTGAGCAGTCCTGTGGAGGTGACACCAGTGGCCATGCACGTGTCCTTGCAAGGAAAGTCCATAGGAAGTGGGAGGCTGCTGCGACGCCTGTGCTTAGCTCACACCAGAGGAATTACTCAAAAGCTTAGGGGTAAGCAGGTGCTTAAATGCTTTGCTGGCGCATGGCCTGGATGCGTACAGCCTGATGTATTGCCCTCCTACAAGCCAGGAGCTGCATCAGGACCAGCAGAGCACTGAAACCCTTCCTCTGTGCATGCAGCTCTGTTCCCACCACTGTCACAGAACACTGAGGACACATGGGCTTGTACTGCCTCACCATCAGCTGGAACAGTATAAATAGGCCAGCCAGCTCTGTCCCCATCATTTGTCTATGTGGGGTTTTATTACCCTTCCCATAGAGGAGTCAATTTGAGCAAGTGACAGGAGCAAAGTACTGGGAGGAGTAGGAAAGGCAGGAAGAAGATGTCAGATGTTGGGGAAGTCACCAGCGAAGCTGCCTTTGAATGCTGCGGAGTGGTTCAGGGGGGAATAACCAAAATGTTGAAGTACTTGGAGAGGATCTTACGCATGCTGAGACAGCATCAAGGAAATCTTTCCTTTGACATATTGGCAATGCCTTCTGAGAAACTACTCTATTTCCAGCTCTTTATGGCATTTAACAGCAATGAACTGTGTCTTCTGTATTAATAAATTATGATGTCACTTTGGTTTATGGGTTAAGCAATATCCTCTTTGGTTATTTATATTACTGAGTGTATGAAAGAAAACTAGAAACAAAGTGATTTCAGAGGCTTTCAGCACACACAACTCTCATGTTAGATCCATACAGCAAGATCAAGATATACTGCTTAAAAAAAGGAAAAGACAAAAAAGCTAGAGGTTAAAAAGAAAAGGAAGGAAAAACTTTATTCCCTGGCCATGTTGCTTACTGTACCATGCTTTCATAGCTTCTCTCCAAGATATTTTGTCACCGTCATCCACTTTTTAAAACATGCTTACGATAGCTTGCACTCGCCGGTATGCCTTGCCTCTTGATCTCAAAGCCACATACAATTATGTTTAACCAGAGCTTTGAGGGGGAGGGGTGTTCAAGGATCCTCACCAAGGTCAGATAGGGAAGCAGAGGCAAAGCTGAGAACACATGTTGAACATCTCCCTTCGTAATAAATATGAGAATTAAATGAAGTTAGAGCTTCTTTTCCTTTCTGCCTGCCCATTTCCCCAGTTCTACCCCATAAATCCTTACCACTTTTTTTCCCCCAGGAAAATCCCTGGTTTTAGCACCTGGATTTGTGCTGGCAGATAGATTTATGTTTGTTGTCTTCTAAAAGGGGCCAAAATCCAGCTGTTTTATTCATGACAACATGTCATGAATGGTGATTTCAGGGGAATAATTGCCTGAGGAGGATGAACAGGAATTAACCCGAAGTCAATAAAATGAACTAGCACTTACCTTAGAGTCAGTAACAGCCCTTGCTTATCTCCTGGTCCAAGAATTTCTCTTAAAACAGGCACCTAAAGATCTTTCTGCACAGCAAGTATCTCAAAAAGGAGGCCACACTAAATGAGCAGCAGGATGAATACGTCCTACAGGGAAATGCACCTGGGTCCCAGCCTCCTGCAGCCCCTTTGAAAATCCTAGTTGTGGGGCTGGTGTCCACAGCCTGAAAGCTATGGGTATGAAACCATGAAACACAGTCAGTGTAGATCAGTTTGCCTTCTCACAGCTGTTGGGTCTGGAGCAGCTGTACCGCTTGGAGCGCTTGGTTTTCCCAAGGAAACCAAAGACATTAGATGCCATTTGCCCTGGTCATGCTGAGACAGGCAGCCTCCCCTAGGCTGGGTACAGTGTGCCCACACAGGGAGATACCATCCCTGTGGCAAAGGGCAGCAGGACCTTGTCTGGTGGGAGCAGATTTCAGCCTTCTGCTTTGCTGCTCCTGGTGTTCACATGGTTATCATGTGATGACACGGATCGGATGACAGCTCACCTGCTTTTACCGGTGAGCTTTTACTTTTTACTGAGCTGCTTTCACTTTTTACTTTGGGACTTTGATGGATCCTGACCCGTTGCTAATAAAGACAGTCACTTGTCATAAAATTCAACAGTTCCCAACAGATTGCATACTTAAATTCACATACACTATGTCTAATCTCTGCAGGAATACATAGAGGAAAAAATAGGGGCCAAATACATTGAAAAAATTGGAGCATGGATGTTGTTGCTTTGAAATGATTAAACAATGTGTACAAGGGGGAAAAAGGTTCTTTTACTGTGGCTATTTCTCCCTGCAAAGTCAAACATGCACATCTTACATGCTGGGAAGTTTAATGGGGACAGAAAAAAGAGGCAGATGCAGGATTGATCTTCCATAATTATTATCTGAACCAGATCGTATTTGCTGATTCCACTTGGCATTAACAATCAAGTGTAAAGCAGCTGTGAAGGAATTCACAGCACTGGCAAGCAATGACAAATTAAAAGAATTACTTTTTTAGAAATTGAAAGATTAAACGAGGACACCGAAATAACACTAATTTTTTCTCGAGTAATACATCTTCCAGACGTCACTTGGAGTTTCTCGGCAACACAAGAATAATCATTACCCTTTTATGCCCAAAGGCCCAGATTAAGTATGTTCTTAAATTAAGCACATGCTTGAATACCCTTCCTGGATGAGGATGTTTTTTGATTCGAGCCCAGCTACCATCTCTCATGTGGCACACAGTTGTAATTTCTTGTCCTTTACACAAAATGAGTCATGTTGCACAGCTTTTCCATAGCCAGATACTGTCCTCTGTAAAACATTGCCTGTTCTTGTTCCTCCCTTTGCCAAAAGGCAGCGCAAACCGGGTGGCGATGACAACAAGTCAAATGGCACACACAACGTCAGACAGAAATGGCAAGATCTGGGCTGCAGCTTTGCAATGACAGAGTCTTTCCTATTCCTTCTCCTACCCGTGAGGACACACAGCATTGCATGGGACTTCAGAAACCTCAGGTTTTTCTCCATTGCGATTTTTACACTGGAAATAAAGTGTGTTTGGTGCAATTGAACCCACACAGGCACACAAACGGACACTCACACATAATCGCTTTTATACAGATATTTCTTCAAGGCATCGGCAGTCCAGCCAAGTGCCAATCACAGGGCTGCAGCTCACAAATGTGGAGCAGCAAAATTAGCAAGGAACAAAGGCTTGGACAGGGCTTGCAGCATTGCCCAAAGGACTGTGGGGCATTTGGCTCCCTTTGCCCAAGGAGCCACTCCACAAAACAAAAGACCGCTGATCCAAGTGTTCCCCTCAGAGATGCCATCCCTAGCGTCATGACTGGGGCCAAGAGGGAGCCAAGTGTGCTGCAGCCAGTCAAAGGCTCACCCACTTGCCAAGTCAGTCTGGGCTATGGAGAAGCCAAAACCCTGCCTCATCCTCACTCCTTCTTCCCCTGCTCCCTTCACCCCATAGCAAGCCATGGACCACGGAGCAGCACCAATACACTGTTGAGTAGCCATACTCAGCACACCAATGCTCTGCCAAACAGAGGGTTCTCCTTTAAAATAAATGACAAGATTCTCCCTGAAAGCAGAGTTTTGAATTCAGCTACTGTGATTCCTGGAGACTTATGCCCACTGACAACGGGTTATAATAATATCTAGGTTTTGAAAGTGCAATTACATGAAAGACAAGGCAAATTAGAAATGGGTATGACACACGCAATTCAGGCTGGCTTCTGGCACAGCCGTTTTTTATGTTCAGGTCATCTAGAGGTGAGGCTTGTTTTCAACACACATTTGAGGCCAGTTCACATCCTTTTGTGTGCCTGTAGGCTCTGCTGTGAGCGCTGGTTTGGGCCAGCTGATGTCCAGAGGAACCATCTAACCCACATTATTCTCCATGCGTGTTCCATGTGCCCTTTTGGCAATACTAGGGATAAGGTGTAAAGTTCTCCAATTTAGTCGCATGGGGTGAGAGAGGTGGAAAGAATTAGAGTTGTTTTATGTGAGATTACTCCACACTCAAAGGCTGTGCATTTGACTTTTCCCCCTAGCCATCACATCTGGCCATGAGGTAAATCTGTGCATA